TGTTGGATATGTTTGCTGTAAATAGGGTAGCTTCAACGAGAGAAATCGCTGCAGAATGCGACATAAGTCAGGCTTCAGTATGGAGAATTCTCAATAAACAAAAATTCAAGTTATTCAAATACCTGCTACATCAGCACTTGTATCCAACTGATTATGATCGACGCCTTGAATATTGCAAATATTTACAAAAGTGCAGAGAAAATAACAGATGTCCACCCCAAATATTGTACTCTGATGAGAGTCGTTTTACAAATTTAGTCGTTTTACAAATTTCAGTGTGTATTAAAGCCTGTTTACACTACATGCAATCTCGTGCAATGCAATAATTTCTTGCCTGAAGGTGTTGTGTATTGAAACACACTTACTGAACTTTAATTCACTTTATTAGCCAACACAAAATGATTATAATTTTTGTCACTGACCGACTGCTATTCACATATATGACAATGACAATCTATAACAATTAAAATAGGTATTTTTATAAACTGGTAAAACATAACAGAAGGCATGCGCACTTTGTTCATTTTCGATAAGCTGATGCAATTTCATTGCATTGCATGGAATTAGAACTTGCACTAATTTTATTGCACGTTGCGTGCCATTTTCGTCAAATTTGTGTTTACTTCCCCCACCTGCGGGTTGGTTTGTTTTGGTTTGTTGCAAAAATTAATATTAATTTGCAAAATCCAAAAATGAAAACACAATATTAGTTATTTATACACCAAGTGAGTTAGATGAATGTTTATTCATGAGAAGAAAGTTTAACGAGCCCTAGCAAGTGGGTTAATTTTCTTCGAATGAATAAACATTTTTATTTACAACTGACATATAATGTAAGTATTATATTTGTGATTTTGGCAGTTTAATGACATCTATTATTCCCGCAGGGATTAATGGTCATTAATCCCGCTTGCACACCAATCACAAAATTTTTCAAATTAAATAAGTAGGTAGTACCATGGAAACAGTATAGAACAAATTCAGTGTCAGTGTCAAACGCGTAGTGCTTGTGTATTTGTATTGAGATGGATGAACAAAGAGCGTTTTTGGAAAGAAAATTTCAAATAAATTAATTTGTCGTAAATAAAGTAGAGTATACTACTCGCAATAATGGCTATTATTCCCGAGGTATATTTACGAACTGAGCCGCGTTAGCGGCGAGGGAGTAACATTCCGAGGGAATAATAGCCATCATTATTGACTCGTGGTATAATCTACTATTATTTACGACTAATGTATAATGTGCGTATTATATTTGTGATTTTGGCAGTATTATGACATATGTTATTCCTCCAGGGATTAATGACGAGTAGCGGGATTAATGGTCATTATTCCACAAAAGTGTCAGTGTCAAACGTGTAGTGCTTGTGGATTTGTATTGAAAATTATGAGACGGATGAAATTTGTTCATTGAAAATCTCAAATAAATTAATTTGTCGTAAATAAAGTAGAGTATAAAGTCTGTTTTTTTTTTAAAGATAATTCCCCAAGTCAAAAATTTAGTAACTATGTTGGCAGCACAAGCCTTTTCTACATAAAAAAATTGAAAGCTTTGACAATTTTACATTGTATTGCCAACATAATGTCATTTTGACTTTTATCTTTAAAAAAAAAAACAGATTTTACTACTCGCAATAATGGCTATTATTCCCTCGGAATGTTACTCCCTCGCCGCTAACGCGGCTCAGTTAGTAATAATCCTCGGGAATAATAGCTATCATTATTGACTCGTGGTATAATCTACTATAACTCACGTGATTTATACAAAATTTTATCCCATTTTGATAAACATTTAAAAAATAAGGTAGGTACTTAATAGGAATCAAATTATAAAAAGAATTCATTTAGTAGTTATGAAAGCGCTAATTATTGAAATTGGTGGTTGCTAAGGTATAACTAATTGTTTGTTTGTATTTGTAGCAGACTTTTATACTGGCAGAGTGGCTTAAAAGACCGAGAGTGAGTTAAAAATATTTTAAGTCACTCAGGTAATAAACGTCTACTTACCTTTGTTATTATGCGTTCAATAATGTCATTTTTAAACGTCAAAATGGAATAAAAAAATATAAAGCAAATCAGCTGTTATATGTCGTTTTCTTTAAGCTGGCACAACCCGCTATACAAATGACTGCTACCTATGTAAACGGTAGAAGGCATAAAATTGCACGTGCAGCCGACTGCATGCCATTTTTAAAATTGCATTGCATCTAGTGTAAACACCGTTTTAGTGTATTTTTGCCTTATTTTTTGGGTCAAATTGGATATGTCAAATTTCTAATAAAAGGTGGTTATCATTCAACATTATTTCAGGTGATTAACTTGTTTTAGGAGGGTATTTTCGGTATTTTCAAAGTTAAGCAATCTAGCAGAAGTTTAAAATGAAAGAAAATATTATTGTGTAGTATCAATCTATTATATATAGCAGAAGTTTAAAATGAAAGAAAATATTATTGTGTAGTATCAATCTATTAGTCGGAAAAAAGTTGTTTAGTTGATTCCGTGAGCCACTACCCTTTCCATAAGAAAAAATCAACTTTTACGCATTTGAAAATTTCAAATGGCTGTAGAAGTTGCATTTTGCAATAATAAAAATAAATAATAATTTTAACAGTTATTTGGGTACAAAACCTACCAATTAATGTCACTCATGGCACGCTAGATGGAAAGTGCGAATTGGTAATTTCGGTTTCAGAAATGTCAAAAAATTATATTGATATACATTTTCATATTTAGAATAAAGAGGCGAATTTAAATATCTAAAAATATACTGGGTATTCAATTTAAAATTTCAAAGTTAGGGTCGTTTCCCAAGAAACCGGAGGTATCAGAAAGGTACTTATTATGTGAAACAATGCACACCAATGACTTATACCTTCTACCAAAATATGAGATGAAAATCTTAAAAAATAAAAAAGTTACAGGGACGAGCGTCATCTGAGAATCACCCTGTAGAGTGCGAAATATGTAAGTATGTACCATCGTCACCAAAAGTATCTGGGACACAAATAATGCATAATAATCTCCTGGACTAATTCTACTGTCATTCATTTCAATGCATTTAATGCATAGTTTGACAAATATTTGACAATAAAATTCATATAATAGGACAAGAGCTAATGTGATGCTGTCCCAGTTACTTTTGGTGACGATGGTACATAAGTGTAAAAATAACTAGTCAATATTGTTCCAACTTTCGTTTACGTTATTTTCACCATTTGAATTTTGTCCACCTTCTTCTACATTGTTCTGCACCGCTTGGAAGAAGTTGGTGATTTTACTTTGATGATTGCTGTGCTGTTGTTTTTCAAAAGCAATTTCTTTAAGGTTTTGTAGCATCATAGACATGTAAAAACTACCTATTCACTTGAACGCAGTTACAAAACGACAAGTGAAAACGTGTACTTTTATTTCCAAGAGTCATGTAAATGAATTCGGATTACTGAATCAAGTGAAATCCGGATAACAGAGTACAATAAAGGAACGAAAATGCCATGCGGATTACAGAAGCATACAGATTATCGCGGGATCGGATTATCGCGACACTACTGTATAATATCACAAGAGAAAAAAATTTGTCGGCAAAATTTTCGAAAGGTATGAAAGTTTGTTGCTTGGCAATTTCGAGAATGACATTTTTGACAAAATCACGAGCCGTCAGGAGAGTAATTTTATCAAAACTGTCATGAGTGAAATTGCCGAAAAGCAACAAACTTGAATAAAACCTTAAGAACAATTTTGCCTACACAATTTTTTTTCAAGTGGTATTCGTCATGACTATTTCACGTAATATTTTGAAAATAAATAGAATGCAAAAATATGAATAAAAACTTCAAATTAAAAATGTCAGTTTGACAATGTCAAAAAATGGTCGCTGAAATACCATGTTGTTGGTCTTGTCCAGGTAACAATATTGTCAGCTGAATACTGAATTTATTGTCGAATGAAGAGGTTTCAGGATTACCGGATAATACTTTTACCTGTCACGAAATGCGTTACGCAGCAACACCACGACTCCGAAGGAGGAGTGGTGTTGCTAGAGGTAAAAGTATTAGGTAATCCTGAAACATCGAGTGGTATTCAAAAGGTTATACAACGAACTAAACTTCAATAATTTATTAATTTTTATTGGCAAATGAACAATATTGCCACCAAGCGCGATAATCCCAAAAGGCTTATCACTTCTTAAGCCTCTCGTGTCATATGGAAATAATGTAAAGTCTGTTTTTTTTTTTAAAGATAATTCCCCAAGTCAAAAATTTAGTAACTATGTTGGCAACACAAGCCTTTTCTACATAAAAAAATTGAAAGCATTGACAATTTTACATTGTATTGCCAACATAATGTCATTTTGACTTTAAAAAAAAAACAAAGTTTACAGTGGTGAGTTGTATAACCGGTGAAATATCCTCTAGGGAAATAGGCAGTATAATTTTAATTTGTGATTTTTAAAATTGAAGATTTCCGCTGAAAAAATTTATTCAAAATTCACTATTTGAACGTTAAACAAACGATTCCTATTCAAAAAAATACCATTTTAGGTGACTGGGCTATACTGCATATTTATTTAGGGGATAAAGTGCAGTATAGCCCGGTCACCTAAAATAGTATTTTTTTGAGTATTTTCAATATAATTTTAATTTGTAATTTTTAAATTAAAGATTTCCGCTGGAAAATTTTCTTCAAAATGCACTATTTGAACGTTAAACAAACGATTCCTATTCAAAAAAATACTATTTTAGGTGACCGGGCTATACTGCACTTTTACCTTCAATTTTTTAGTTATTGTGGATAAGCAAATAGTTTTCATAAAATAAAACCCATTACTCAAAACCCCAAATATTCAAATTCTTCTATAATAAAAACCCACTAATTTTCTAAAAATACACACAAACATAAAATTATTTTACTTGCACTGGAATTAAATGGAAATGCATAATGCATAAACAATCAGGCTCATGCAGCAACCGAAAATTCGAGATTAGTTTGCAATAAAAATTTACCTCAAATATCATTAGTAGAACTTTCACGTACAGCCGTCTGACTCCCAAAGACTTTCCTATGGACGCCAGGAATATAATGGACAGGAGCAGCATCATAAAAGGCACAAAAAATATTGAGAATAAAAATTTGAATCCAATTACTAATAGGGCCATCCTGGATGAATTTATTGGAGTAGCCTAAGGACTGATCTTTTAGAAATTTGATTTTAAAATAAGTTCATTTTAAATAAACGCGACGTCCGGACAACCAGAGGAATCGATACAACACAAGTACTCGCTTCTAGTACGGAACCAGAAATGAAAGGAATAAATTGAATGAATGTCAGTGAAATGAAATTTTGTTAATTTTTTTTATTTTTTCATCACCAAAACATCACTCCTCACTCCTCGGCCCACGCTTGATGACGGTGAAATGACGTTTTCAAAAGACGCGCGCGCAGTTTGACATGTGCGTTTTGGGAAGTGTACCGTTTTCACCCATGGGTAACCGTGGGTAGACCAATCTTGATGTGACGTCATGGGTTCATCGAAAATCATATCGCGAAGGCGGCGTTCCGTATCTTAACCAGAGTTACCGATCGGTATGTAGCGGTTCGTCTATGGTGACAGGTGACAGTCATTTTTAAGGTGATTTTTTTTAGTTTTAGTTTAAGATGGAGAGTTTGCAAGTCGTGCCGCGCACAAGGGCCCGGACCCCGAAGGCGCCCGGCGCTTCCTGAGTCCTGCCGCTTTTCGGACACAACATACAAGAAAATCAAAAAAAAAAATTCATATTACGCTCGCCCAAGCAATATTCGCTTTGGCGATTTTAAACCGAAACAAAAAACTGTGATATCGATCTCTAGAGATTTCTTTCCAGTCAGCCCTCCGACTCCTATAGTTCAGGAATGTTAGGCAAAATTTCGCCTAAACCTCAAAAAAAATCCCAGAGTTTTTCTGAGACCTGTTTTGGGTTCCTGTGATAGTGCTCTACAACGCATAAAAAGTCCCCAAAAATCCCCTCATTGGCATTTTTTTTAGAGGCCTTTTAAATATATACAACTTTTACACTAAAAGTTGAGAAGTAGCAATAGTTTCATGTTCGCTGTGAGACGTCGGGGCCATGTTCATATGCATTTGTTCGGTTGGAATGCATGACCACTGTACCAACACACCAGAAAAACATCACGGTAAGTCGTATTTCCCGATTAAAAGGGTGTAACTCGCGGCAAATAGCGCTCAAATCCGTAGAAGTCCTGCTTCTTTCGCGTTTCTTCGTTCCGAACTTTATTTTAAGCTTTGGTGTGTGTGTGTGTGTGTGTGGGTGAGTATGTGTGTGTGTGTGTCTGTGTGTGTGTGTGTGTCTGTGTGTGTAAGTGCGTGTGTGTGTGTAAGTACGTGTGTGCGCAAAACAGCTTTACTTAACCTTCTGATGAAAAATGAAGAGCTGATGTCAGAAGTGCAGCTGTTTAACTCACAGGGAGCGGAGATTGAAGCACTTGTGTCGCTAGGAGAGCGAACTATCTGCGCTCTGTACGGTGTGCCCGAAAGCCAGACGCTCCTAGGCGTGCGCCACAGCATCTTCACTAGGCCAACGGCCAGGAAAGATCTCACCCCGGAGTTGAAGTTAAAACTCATGCCACCCACGAGTGGGGCTGCACGCTACCATACACTTCGCGTGTATCTTCAGGTAAATATTGTGATTTTTTTTTCGTCTTGCGTTACTTTTGAATATGTTGTACTCATTCCTATGTATGGTGCAGGTGCAGGATTGGCTCGGGCACAAACTAGATGCCACACAGTTTGGCTGGCGAGAAGGTTTTGGTCGATTGCTGCCAGTTATTTCGGACGACCCTCCTGCTCCGGACAGCCTACTGAAACTTGTCAGATTTGGCTGCACTACGGGCTGCAATCAGAACTGTGGGTGCCGCCGGGCAGGTGTGCCCTGCAAGTCCTATTGCGCAAGATGTGAAGGCAACTGCACCAATAACGAGCATGTAGTTCTCGATGACGCAGAAACAGACGCTGACGAAGACATCGACGACCCGACGATGTAAAGTAAGTAAACACTTGCTTATGGGCTTTAGACCATTCGTCCAAGCAGCATGCATTAACAACGAGTGCTTTTCTCGTTTCAGGAAAACGTCCCTGTGAGAAACTCTTCAGATAATTTCTGATGTATTTTGAAAGATTTTACAAATTTAGTACTAGTTTTTTCTTTAATTAAAAAAAATATGTGCCAAGTACTTAATTCAATTTGAATAAAAAACAATACTGTTTCTAACTCAGAAATTAGGTCTCCTAGTCCTCTCTCGTTGCCTTCCCTACATACACACTCACTCACATGGACAATCACATGTGCATGAACGAACACCGAACCACGCACAGAAAGATCGCACGCGACGACGGCGGCGCACGACGAATTGGACATCGCTCGCGATGTGTTGGGTGAGATACGTGGTTTATTTCCGGAAAATTGAGATACGGTTAGCACCAGTTCTGTTACAGTCACTCCTGAACACTTCTGCAATGCCACCAACAGACAAAACGAGGTTAGGAACGAAGAAACGCGAATTCTGCGGGTTTGAGCGAGATTTGCCGCGAGTTACACCCTTTTTATCGGGCAATACGACTTACCGTGATGTTTTTCTGGTGTGTTGGTACAGTGGTCATGCATTCCAACCGAACAAATGCATATGAACATGGCCCCGACGTCTCACAGCGAACATGAAACTATTGCTACTTCTCAACTTTTAGTGTAAAAGTTGTATATATTTAAAAGAAAAGGCCTCTAAAAAAAATGCCAATGAGGGGATTTTTGGGGACTTTTTATACGTTGTAGAGCACTATCACAGGAACCCAAAACAGGTCTCAGAAAAACTCTGGGATTTTTTTTGACCTATATTCCCAAGTTTCCGGGGCTGCGTTCAGGAATGGCTATAGCCAAGCCAAAATTGGCATTTTGCGTTCGAGTTCGGCTCCAACCTCGTGGTTCCGCATTACAGATGGAGGGGGAAAAGTAGGTTTTGGCATTAGCATTGCCGTCCTTGAACGCACCCCCGGACTACTAGTACTCGTGTCAATATTTGATAATAATTGACCTTTTCAATTTAAAAGCCTCTCTCTCTAGCGTCAAACTGTCAGACGCCAAAAGAGTATGAAAACAACGGTTGACAGCCGCTGACAGTGGTTTGTTGACAAGACTTTTGTGCATGTGGAAACTGGAAACTATTATTTCCTCGGTTTTTTCAAAGTTTTTTCCCTAACAATGGTGATTGCGTAGTGTGCCTTTTTGTAAAAATAATTCCTATTTACCGGCGGACGTGTTTTTCCATAAGTTTCCATCAAATCCTACATTTGTCAAATTTTGGATACATAAAATCAGAAAGATTACTCGCAAAAAAAAGGGGAATCCACGGCCTATCAAGTATACAAAGTAATCCACGTTCAAGTTTAGTTTGCAGGAGCTGTTCGCTTCCAAAATGATCCACCGCTTTCTCTATAGCGAAGTTCTGCAAATGAAGTAGTGACTTTTCCCACATTTTCTTTCAAAACACCCAATACACACTGGCATTGACAAGCAAGCAAATGTTGGCGGGAAAATGATTGTTTTCATACTTTATTGTCCATCTCTTTTAATTAAAAACGTCAATTGTCAATCTCAGTCGTGTATTAGCCACTGTCGCTCTCAAAAATACGAAGGCGTAGAAGGCACACCGAACTTTTTTTTTCTCAATTTTTAAAATTTCGAGTTACAACACGAAATTTTACTCTAAAACTTCGACTTGTAATTCGAAATTTCCATATTTCGAGTTATTGGTTATTTCGTTATTCGAGTTATTGAAATCTGTTTTTTCTTAAAGATAAAAGTCAAACTGACATTATGTTGGCAATACAATGTAAAATTGTCAATGCTTTCAAATTTTTTATGTAGAAAAGGCTTGTGTTGCCAACAGTTACCAAATTTTTGACTTGGGGAATTATTTTAAAAAAAAACAGATTTTATTGTCGATTAAAGCCGATTGTCGCAAACAAAAAAATAAAAAAATGGAATGGATGACACCAAATTACGAAAACAAACACTCTGCTTTTTTGTGCACACTGCGCATGCGCGCTCCGGCGCTTGCTAAGCTCAATCAAGGTGAGCTTGGCTTGTTCACTCCATACACTCCGAGTGACTCCATTCGCACTCCAGCCGTTCGGGTATTACTTTTTGGCGTAATAGGGGTGACTCCATTAGCGTTCGACTATACGGAGTGGAGTAAATAGAGTTCACTCCAAAAGTTCCACCTCGGAAAGAGAATTTTTTAGAGTAAACATGCGCAGAATTGAAATGTAGAAACTGTCAAGCTTGTTGTGTTGTCACGTTAGGGTTGTTAAAAAAATTAAAAATTGTTTATGTGTGGATGTGGAAATCGGTAAAATCATCAAGCAAAATGATTGATCTGATTTTAAAATTTATTAAACATGATGGAAAAATTTCCTTGACAAAGTTAAACAGGGGCAAAAGCATAATATTATTCTATTATAGAGAAATTGAAGTTCAAGTTTTGTAACAAAACAAATCAGCTGTTTGATATTTTTGCTGCGACCGTTCCGTTCGTTCGTGTATTAATTTTTGACTCTAATCACTCCTAGATCACGTGACAAAAATCTGTTCTTACTCCACTCCAACTCCGTGCTGAATAGCCGAACCCAGCTGAAGAGGTGATGCTTTAGAGTCAGCTCTTTTGACTCCCGCACGTCCTTCCCGAACGCATGTGGAGTAGCTTTTTTAGCTCAAAATGACTATACCCGAACGCATCAGGAGTGTTGAGTGCACTTGGAGTTTATAGAACACTTATTCCGAACGCACCTACAGTCAGCTCTTTTGACTCCTACACGTCCTTTCCGAACGCATGTGGAGTTGCTCTTTCAGCTCAAAATGACATTACACGATGGATCAGGGCTGCTGGGATCACGACAAGTCGAATTTCACTTTCATGACGTCACCTGCGACCGATTTATCGCGTACAGTACAGGCAATGATGACGGTTCCTAGGCAACTTGACGTCATGAAATACAGGCAATCAATATCCACACAAATCTAGTAAAAATCTACTGGTCGTGATCCTAGCACTGGATTGTTTAGTGCATTTGGAGTTTATAGAACACTCATCCCGAACGTACCTCAAGGTTAGTCACCCGACCCGGTGTTTCATTTATCATTACTGAACACGCTCCAGAGTATTGAACTCATTCCTCATACCAAAATAAAAATGAAAGTTGAAGTTGACACTGACAAATAAATCGTCAGCCATTTTGCAATTTAATTCATTGTTTTATCAAAATTCCTCAGATCTGCATCTGAATAACAAACAACTTTGAGTTTTTGTGGATTCAATGGTGTGTTTAGATAAAATATTTGCAGTTAGATATATCTTATAATCTCTAGGAGCTAGTTTTTCCATTGGATTCCCTACTGTTTGGCCAGAAGCTATAGCTCCTAAGGAGCTGGCTTCCTACACAGGCCATTTTTAAAGAATAATATTTCTTCAAGTGTGCAATATAATCCGTATTTACCGTAAGATTTGAAACATGGAGACAGACGAAGGAGAATCGTCCAGCAGTGGTCCTATTTCAACGTTGAACAGCCTCTTTTCATTTACTAGTCCGGCTGTGAAAAAGTTGCTGGGTTGGAAACAAGGAGATGAAGAGGAAAAATGGGCAGAGAAGGCAGTAGATAGTTTGGTGAAGAAACTGAAAAAAAGAAAAGGTGCAATAGAAGAATTAGAAAGAGCTTTAAGTTGTCCTGGACAGCCCAGTAAATGTGTGACTATACCTAGAAGTTTAGATGGAAGACTCCAGGTTTCCCACAGAAAAGGCTTACCGCATGTAATTTATTGTCGCGTATGGAGATGGCCTGATTTGCAAAGCCACCATGAGCTAAAACCTCTAGAGCATTGTCAGTATCCATTTTCCGCTAAACAAAAAGAAGTCTGCATCAATCCTTATCATTATAAGCGAGTGGAAAGTCCAGTTTTGCCCCCAGTTCTCGTTCCTAGACACAACGATTTTGTTCCAGGACATTCACTGTTACCATTTCAACAGTTGGTAGAACCAAACATGCCACACAATGTCAGCTATTCTTCAAATGGCTTCAATAGTCCTGGCTCACCAATATCTAGCGTGTCTAGTCCAGGCAGTGTTATTTTAAATAATCCTCAGTCGCCTTATGCCAACTTAGCTGAGACTCCACCCCCTGCTTACAGTCCCACTGATGAAAATGCTTCCACTACCACAAACAACAATCCCAGTCCAGAACCATCCATAACTCAAGATGTTCACCCTGTGCCATACCAAGATCAACCATTCTGGGCTTCAATTGCTTACTATGAACTTAACAGTAGAGTGGGAGAAGTCTTTCATTGTAGCTCAACTTCAGTGATTGTGGATGGCTTTACAAATCCCAGTAATAACAATGACAGATTCTGTTTGGGGCAATTGAGCAATGTCAACAGAAATAGTACCATCGAAAACACTAGAAGGCATATAGGTAAGGGTGTGCATTTATACTACGTCAATGGTGAGGTGTATGCAGAATGCCTATCAGATTCTGCCATTTTTGTTCAATCTCGTAACTGCAACCATCATCACAATTTCCATCCATCCACTGTATGTAAAATCCCAGCTGGATGTTCCTTGAGAATCTTCAATAATGCAGAATTCGCCCAGCTACTCTCTCAATGTGTCAATCATGGTTTTGAGGCAGTCTACGAGCTCACAAAAATGTGTACCATTAGGATGAGCTTTGTAAAGGGCTGGGGAGCAGAATACCATCGACAAGATGTCACAAGTACACCCTGTTGGATCGAAATCCACTTGCACGGACCTTTGCAGTGGCTTGACAAAGTTTTGACACAGATGGGAGCTCCACGTAACGCCATTAGTTCAGTGTCATAATGGATTAAAATATGATTTTTGGTAACTATATAAATCATTACTTTTAGTTTTTAATGTGTTAAATTTAACAGAAATGATAAATCATAGGTCTGAAAAAGACTGAATGTATAACAAAAGGAGTTTGGTGTGTTCTTGAAAATTGCCTTTGATAAATTTTACATAAGTAATATGTATTACAAATTTAAATTATGTAAAATTATAAATATATTAATAGTGGGATTTTAATATATTATAAATAGGCATATGCATTTATACAAACCTCTTAAGTTTAGTTACATTTTTATCTGTGTGTCACTGTGTGTTGTTCACTAGTAAAAGTAAAAAGAACACTGTGTGGATATTGATTGCCTGTATTTTATTGACACATGGGTGAAGACATAATTAACATTATTTATTGTTAGCTGATCAATAGAATTGTTCACTGACGATTTGTGGAGATTTGAAAATAACAATATAAAATATGGATAAGTGCAAATTAGGGTTAATATAATTATTTTCAAAGGTTCACAAACAATGCAACATAGGAAGTTGGTTTTGTTACTAGGGATTATAAATACAAAGCAGTCTATTTAATATTGTATGAAGGTATAGTGAAAATGTGGGATTTTTTACAGCTACCTATATGGTTACAATTTTAGAAAAACCTTAATATCCTTTTTGATGTGTAGTGGCTGACGATGTTGTTCAATTTCTGGGTAGGAATTTCTTCATTATTTCCTCAATTATTTTTGATTTAGTCCATTTTATACTAAGTTGGTCGTTCCATGCTACATCTGGTTTATAAGTGAGTCCCTCATATTTGTTCTGTGTTTCTACAATATACCCTTTTCCACATTTGCAATTCTTCATGTTTTTCCGATAAGTTGAGAATGTTCAAGATTGGTCTTGTTCTGTTTTTATCTTCTGTATGCTATCAGAACATCCATTTCAAGTGAGGTCTTTTTTGAGGGTACGAATTTCTTGGATTCCTTGATTTGTATGGTACACTAGTGCGAGTTGACGTTGAATATTGAGCGCTTTGTAGATAGTTGTTGTATGGATGTGTCCATTCTTATAGAAGGTAATTTGCTGGTCAATATTGCCATTGTTTCGACGATTTCATGTAAAACTGTTGCCTAAGTGTGTTTAATTATTTTTACTGCAGCAATTTCCTCTGGATAAATCATTACATTTATTACCGGAGTTGTTGGTAAAGTGAATATACAATTCAAGTTTTCTGTGCAATTTGGAAATAATCGTTATTGTTCAATTTGGCTTGTTTTGCCATGTAATAGTGGTTGTATGAAAAATATCAAGAGTATATTCTAGAAGGAAATTCTTTTCATCACTGAAAAAAAATCACATTTATTTCAACTTCTTTATCAGACTGACAAAATATTACTTTGTGCTTTCAAATATACAATTAGATATTAATGATAAGTTAAGTTCATATACAATTAATTATTATTAAATAAGGTTTAGTATGTTTCTCTAGTTAGATAGAATAACTATTTTTGTGTCTAAGTGCTTCTAAATGAATAATAATATTGGCAATTTATTGTGTTTTTTTTTTGTATTGAATTTTAATATTTTGTTATCATTTGCGATAAATTTCTATCCTAATATGTGTATAATATATCATCATTTAAAATTTATAAAATCTTATTAGTTCCTACTTTTCACTTTTTGATTTTTCATCAAATACTACGTCATCCTTTATTTGTATCGTAAAAGTTTATTAATTATCAAACAATTAGTGCTATTTTCATAACATAATTTATTCAGTGTTTCATTCACTCAGGTCTGGTTTATTCATCTTCAGCTTAACTTTCTGGTAACTATCTGCAAGATAAATTTACCGTTTTATGATTCTATTAATTGGCAGATAACTGGCCGACCAATGGGATTACAGATTGCGTTTTTATTTGTCAGATTGCATACCTGACAGTTCATCAAAAGGTGAATAAGCCGGCCCTTGGTTACATTGATAACTTTTTTTATTTTAACTATGAATTTAGTTAATCTTTATTATATGAAATATACAATTATAGTATGCGTGTTTGTAATCTATTATAAAATGTATCAGTGTTTTTTTGAACCGTTGATGTTATTAAATTCCAATTTGGATACATATGCACGTCTTGAATCATATAATTGGTACAAAATTAGTGAGTTTGACATTAGGTGAAAATAACTATTTTTATGTCGAAGATAATTTATTATAGGTGCTTCTAAAATCTTATTGAATAATTATTAGTTTTGGCAATTTTCTATTATTGTTTTGTTTTTGTGAAATTGTTTTGATATTTTATTATAAATTGATGAAACCTTATGGTGGCGATTGATTTTTTACAATAGGAACATAGGTAGTAAGTTAAATAAGTACATTTTACTATTTGAAAACTATTTAGTTGGTAATACATTTTGCAGAAGAAAGCTTTCAATATATTGAATAAAACAAAATACATAAAAATGTTGATTTTTCTTTATTTAAGGAGGATTTTTAAACATCAAGTTTGTATTTTCAGTTAATTGATGAATACAAATAACTCTTACTTGTGTCACTTGTCAACATTCAGCAGCTGGCAAAAACGACCAAAATTTAGCCAGAGTCGAGACGCTCGCAGAGTCCCTATACTGTCTCAAAGTTGCATTTATTAATACTGCCTTGGAATGTTGTGTGTGGGTTAATTGCGCCTAATCTACCAACTTTTTCCTTTATGAAAACTTTCGTAGTGGGGGCTTTTCTAGTTTTTCCGAAAGCCGACCATTTCGCGTGGTGCAAAAAATTTATAGATATCGTTTTTATTTTTAGTGAAATCGCGAGACAAATTCATGAAAAAAGATGTATCCTATAAAAATGTTTGACTGTTAAGGGTGTCTACCAACTCGAACATATCCAATTCACAAGTTAAAAAAAAAATTGGATTGATTTTTTCAGAATTTCTTAATAAAAATATGTAGAATATAAATATCCAATTGTCCGACATATTACATTTTCCGATTTTCCAGTCTGATGCGGGAAAATCATTGGTTTTCGAAATTCCAAGAAGCGTTTATCAACCTTCTCTTTCCGACATAAATCCATCAAATGATGTGTTTCCTGCAATAGAAGAATTCCTTCCTATGCAGGATCTATTCACTGAAAACTAAGGATGTAAATACAGGAAGATTCGAATTCTTTGAAAAGGCCATCCGAAACGAAAACCTTAATGAAGCTGTGGTAAAAACTCAAGTGAAAGGACTTGATGCATCCAATATTCCTTCCACCCACAAAAGTAGAACTTCTTCAGCAGATTAAAAGAACAATATACAGGGTGTCCACTTAGTGCGATATCGGACGATATCTCCTTACAGGGTGATGCAAAAAAAAATTACAAAGTTGTTTGATGCTCTAATATGCATGAGTTCACAATATTTTTGAATATACAGGGTGCTCCGTTTATAGGGTATGCGACAGAACTTTGTTATTTTGAATGGAACACCCTGTATGTAATTGCATATTTGGATTCTACGTTAAATTCTGAGCAGATTTTATGTAATATACCCTATACCTAAGTTCAACTGTTTTTGAAATATTGATAGTTGAAAATTCACTTTTTGGCAACTTTGACAGGCTGTAAAACCTAAACGGTTAATTTTAGAGGAAAACCGATTTTGCATTCATGTCTTAGATTTTCATAAGCTATCATTTGACACCAACTTCGAATTCAATCCGAGATTAAATTTAATTGGAATTTTTAATCATGGATTAAATTCAAGGTTGGTGTCAGAAGATAGCTCATGAAAATCTAAGACAGGAATGTAAAATCGGTTTTCTTCTAAAATTAACCGTTTAGGTTTTACAACCTCTTCAAAGTTGCAAAGAAGTCAATTGTCAACTGTCAATATTTCCGAAACAGTTGAATTTTAGGTATAGGACATGTTTCATGAGAAATACTTACATAGAATTTCATCAGAAATTCTAAAATGTAAAAAAAATTAGGGGTGTCTATTTAAAAAAAAAATAACTTACTACCTGTCCAGCTTTTCTGCGGCCACCCTGTATAATTATTTTATTTTATAAAAAATACTTGACAAAAAATAAAATTGTGTTCGAGGATTTAAAAAAAAATTGCTTAGAAGAATAATTATTGAATTTATTCCTTACTTTACGGCCGCACTGTATGTACCCATAATAAAACCAAAGTTCAATTTGTGTTAATTTGACTGTATTAAGCCTACATAAAACTAAACATACAAACTAAATCCTATTCGGCACGTTTTCCTTCTAAGCTTTCCAGCTTTTGCTTTTGAAACATTTCTAGAAGATATTCTGTAGCCGTTTTATCTTCTCGTATAACTTTTGAAAGTTCTTCGTTAGGAAAACTAACCAAATTTAGTTTTGGATCCCTAAAAGAAAATACATAATTACACATTTGATAAGTTGAAATGAAAATGACCAGTTTATCATTTTCTGCCGCTTGGATTTGGTTCAACCATAGTTTATTTTGACTGATGTGAATCAAAAAGTGAATAAACAAAATGTAAGAACTAGATAAAACATTAACCACCATTAACATCAGTTTCCTCAATCGTTCCAAAAAAATTTGCAGAGGGCATGGCAAAAATTTATATCACATGATGTTACACAATAATTATTATTTCCTGGGCTACAAGCCAATGTAACAAAAAGATATAAAAAATCAAGACAAACATTTGATTAGAACCCGTGGAAAATTTTGGAAAAGAAGAAGACGAGGAAGAAGAAAAGTATCCATTATTCAACAATAATAAATAAAAAGATAAAGGTTCTAATATAATTTAGTAGGGATGTCAATAACCGGTGGTTAAAACCGGAAAACCGGTGTTTTCTCTTCGGTTAACTGGTTAAAACCAGTTTTTTTTTGCTTCCAGTTATAATCGGATAACCGGGTTTTATACCTAATAACCGGTGAAAGTGAAATAAGTAGACTTTTCTCTCGTCTTATTAAATAAATTGTAAAATATTGAATAAGCGACAACAGTCGAATATTTCCTCA